CTCTTGAGCTAGTTGAATCCTGTGATTAGTTGATGAATGGATGCAGGATATTTGTCACGATGGAATGTAGATATAATACTCTGGATAGTCGAGGATGATGCCTTGTATAGACGTTCACTATATTCCTGTATGGGTGAGTGCATCACTGATATTGGTTTAGCGAGGCTTTAAATAGCATTTCGCATATATAATGGCGTGTCAGCTTATTTAATGTCGGGAAACATCCGCATGTGACGCAGGCCATAGGATCACCAACCAAGGATCATGATCGATTGTCTTATCTTGGCCCCAATAATGTTATTTGTGAAATTGACCAATGAGAAATTAGGTGGAGACGAAACCGGAGTAGGCAGCCTCGAGACGGTGTTACGAGATGTCTACCACTGTCAAGTTAACTCGTCATGACAGATGGATGAACGCATGTGACAACACCCACGTAACACAACGGTGTTAGGATCCTGGCGCTCAAGAGAAAAAAACCCTGCACTTCACATTCTATAGTTACCCGTTTCGCTATTCGTGAATATGCTGAAAATTTATCAATACATGTTTTAGACGTGAGTAGGCCTGTATTCTTTCATCCGAGAGAAACGTCTTGACTACTTTCTCAACCTAATTTCTAATTATCAACTTTTAATATCTACCCAATACCTTTATCCTTGTATTCTGACATTACTTTCAACAAATATACTGTTTAATATCACTGACAAACACAGACATGAAAACTTACTTTGTGATGACGCTTTCCACGGCGCATGGGCGGAAAGATAGCATCACGTGACTTCCGTTATCCGCAATCAATCTATCAGTTCGCTGCAGAATAGCCAGAACTCACAGGAAAACATGACATCAATAGATTTCCCAGTTTTAAGACTTAATACAGCAAGAAGTTCGGATCACTTGTGTGATATTTCAGCATTTATTAATTTCGAGTCACCAGTCGTGTTGGCGAACATAACCATAACGGGCGTCTCCATTAAGATGTCATCAGGCAATGTGTCATGATGAGAAATGGCAGGGAGGGTAATTAAAACTTTGTATGTGGAGGTAAAACCGCCGTATCTGGGCCTTTAGGCTCATAAACAATTTCACGGTGTACATTTTCTAAAGGTTATTGCATAATTAGGCAGTGAACCACATATAAACACCCACTTTGAACAATCAAAAGTAACCCTGAATAAAATATTCTTAATAGAAAAGTCACCTCTAAGGGGAAGTGTTTATATTTCTTTGTTGTTTAACGCCGCACTCAGCAATATTCCAGATATATGACGGCGGTCTGTAAATAATCTAGTCTGGACCAGATAATCCAGTGATTTACATCATGAGTATCGATCAACGCAATTGGGATCGATGACATGCTTCAACCAAGTCAGCGAGCCTGATCACCCAATCCCGTTAGTCGCCTCTTACGACAAGCATAGTCGCCTTTTACGGCAAGAATGGGTTGCGGGTCATGGTTACGTGTTATGAAGACACTTTAAACATCGTCAAAGTAGAGATGATGAGTTTAACATTACAGTTAGCTGTTGCTAAACAATAACACTGGTCATGGTTACGTGTTTTCGAGACACTTAAAACATAGACAAAAAAGAGGTGGTGAGTTAAACATTTCAGTTACCTGTTGACAGACAATGAGACTGGTCATGGTTACGTGTTATCAAGACACTTAAAACATAGACAAAAAGGAGGTGGTGAGTTAAACATTTCAGTTACCTGTTGACAGACAATGAGACTGGTCATGGTTACGTGTTATATAGACACTTAAAACATCTTCTCAACTCCATCATGACAGTGTTATCATAAGGACTTCCTCATGACAGTGTTATCATAAGGACTCCCTCATGACATCGATCTACGCAAATGGGATACGATGACATCCATCAACCAAGTCATTGAGCCTGACCACTCGATCCTGTTAGTCGCCTCTTTCGACAAGCAGAGTCGAAGGCAAGCATGGGTTGCTGAAGACCTATTCTTACCCGGATCTTCAAGGGTTTTTTGATGGGAAAGTACTGGGACTGATAGACTTTTTGAATCCTGTGAAAGAGTGATGATGGTGAAGACGTGAGTGATGTAGGGCACCGTTGCAATTCGTTGTGCAGAGTTGCGTCCCTGGGGCATGTCTACGTCCGATGATCGTGGGTTCGAATGCCAGGTTCGCCCGGATTATTGTTTTTGGGGTTTGTCAGCACCATACCCGCTCTCGTGGGTTTCACAAGATTCGTGACATCTCCCTTTGCTCTCACATTAAGCTAATACGATGTGATAGGACTGGAATATTGTTCGAAGCTGATGTTTGGCATGAGGGTAAGACGTGTTTCCACATATGCTCATTCCTCTGTCCAACCAAGTAACGTCTGCTGGTTGTAAGATGGGACTGAAATAGAACAGTGGTCATGCTCATCCGTGGCGTGGCCCTGTCTGGCGCACGGCATTAAGGGGCGAAAACAAAGACAAAGAACTGGACGTCTCGGAATCAGTATGCTGTGTCTGAGTGGGGTATTCGTGAACTAAACTATAAATCGGCATCATCCCGGACTAATACAAGCAACCCCCCCCAAAGTGTGTGGATAAGCATTCGAGGATCTCCTGTTGGCAGATGACGATTTGATAAAAGAAATTCTTATTAATTTTAATAAATAAAATATTTGATATATTTGATATCAGATAAAAATCTCGTGGCACATGTTGACGATGGTGATAACTGGTACAATTAGTCGACGGAAAAGTCATATTCACACTGCATATTTTGATTCCGTCTCGTCGCGTTATTACAAAAATCGAAACTTTTTCACAACGGAAATAAGCACATTTGCTCATAGTTTCATAGTTATTGATTCAGTAAACGGATTATATCAGATATAACGCGGGGAAAATGGCGATAACTTGTCGCTGGCCAGTATATAAATAGATGGTAAAATGTCTGATTTAATTATTTTAATCAGAATTTCAGATTTCTAATTCCCAGACAGATCACCCGATCGCTATTGGTCTCGCCTTTTTCGACGGGTGTGCTTGGAACATTCTATCCGTATAGCGGGAACAAGGATGGCAATAGTTGAAACACGTCCGTCAACTATCACAATTCTTCATGGAATTAAACACATTAAACACTTTATGAACGATGCAGGGACTGAGGACTCTCGCATGGATATAAATGAATGCGTGTCATAGTCCCCGACGTCGTGGATCGTTGCTCATAATATCAGTCACTGGTTTGTCTGGCCCAGACTCGACAGGTCTCCGTCATAGAGCTACAATATTGCGGGGGAAAAACATTTAACATTTGGTGATTTAGATTTTGTTGATAGCAGAAACGACTGTATTACAAGATTGATGACTTCTCCTTTCCAATAGTCAACTTTCCCTTCATGCAATATTCCAGCACCTCCAGCCTTTGGTGTTTACATTTCACAACTTTTGAGACAAAGTCGAGCATGCTCTTATTATCAAATTTTCATAGAGCGTCATACGACTCTTGCTCAGAAGCTATTTGATCAAGTCCTCAGTAAAGCTTTCAAAACGTTTTATGGTAGACATGTAAAGAACAGCTCATGATATAGTCGGAATCGTGCAATCGACTCTGGTGTTCCGCTTTTATTTCCTGATGCATTTATATATACCAACGAGGAAGCTGATGTATGTAGATAAGTCTCGTCTCCATTCAAAGGTCGATTTAATTATGTCTCAGTTCAGACCGGAAGAAACTGTATGCATCGAAAGTTGTGTCAAATATGGAATACTAAAAGGGACATTGTCGCGTTGTCGCATTGTCGCCCTTCCAAAAATAGACACAAGCTAAAAGTTTCAAAATTAACCAAAGTACGGATATCTTTTTTTCATCTTACCAAAGCGCGACAATTCGACAACGTGATATTTTCAAGGTCGCGTTGTCGCATTGTCGCCCCGTCAAAAATGTGTGAAAAGGACGTTAAAATGCGTATTTAATCATGTCGTATTGTCGCGTTGTCACCCTTTTCGATTAATGGTGCGCAAGCCTAAGTGGATTAATCTACGCATGCGTCGAAATGGTTATACTCGTTTTCAAACTCCACTATTCCTTATTTATCAACAAGTCATTAAAGCCTATTGATGAATTTCAAAACAATTGTCATACACACTGGTATACCATAATGACATTATAGATGGAAACAAATACCTTCTATAACAATTAAATATCATCTAACAGTGCTGGAATAGCTAAATATGCAAACAAAAGAATCGACATGTTTTTTACACTACAGACGACTTACTGTACAATAACTTACATGTCTGAGTAGTGGAAGAAAACAACGTTTTAAAAATATCTGCCATGTTGGTCATGCTCAAAATCAGATACAAATTTTGAATGCATTACTGGTGACTTTATTCCTGGGACCACACAAAAAATGACAGCTTCATAACAATTGTAGGTTATTAAAGAAATGTAAAAATAAAGCATCACTGGATTCAAGGATTACATTAAGGTTAAAATTCATAAATGTGCAAGTTATTGAAATACACACAACAGAACCTCGTGCAACATTGTCACCATATATTGAATTACATGAGTAGTCTGTGCCCAAAAATGATGGGTCAACTAGTCCGAACAGGGTTTTAGTGTTGTCATAGTAACTATTATTAATTGGACTTACTACATCAAGCACAATATTACTAGACTTGCGTTACAAATTTGGGGGATTTTCAGGAAGAATTGCTCAAGCAGAAACATGTTATATGTTTAAAGTATAAAGAATTAGTACATGCATAATAGTATACTTTAAAGTACCTGACAACAGGCTACCGCTTGCCTCTTGAATTCCGAAATGAAAAGACGTTGATGCTTCATTGTGTTCAGTAGTATACAGTGAAGAGTCTGGTAAGTCCCATTATCATGTAAAGAGTTAGAATATAATATAGCAGTTGCCTTGTTAGTCTATAGCAATTTGTTATCTGCAAATATAATAAAAAATATTGGACATTACTGTTTAATTGGATTAGGAAATACACAGAGAGTAGATAAGTACGTAAAACATAATTTTAATAGTATGATTAGAGAAATAAGATGATATTTTTTAGATTAGAAATTTGTCCCCAGTTTTAAGAGGCTTGGGTAAATCCTGTAGTGACTTGACCAGGCTCCATGGTCTAGTGCACAACATTTACAATGTAGGTCTAAACTGACAATGACAATGACAATGACAATGACAATGACAATGAGAAATTGTTTATTCAGACCCGGGTTCGAATCCCGACATAGGTACAATACGTGAAGCCCATTTCTGGTGTCCCCCGCCGTGATATTGCTGGAATATTGCTAAAAGCGGCGTCAAACCAAACTCACTGACTCATACCTTGTAGCATGCAATGACATCAGTCCATATAATGAAGTATGCTGATGATTGCAGTTCTGAAAAAACTGCCTCAAAAATAAAAAAACACCAATTAATACAACTTGTTAATGATATGTGAAACAGTTTTCTTGATAGTGATATTGAGTAAGTAATACAAGTGATGCTCATGATTCTATAATGCACCTGTTTTGAATATAACTTGCATGAATAAATTCAACATGATGTTTTATCATGAGCAAAAATATGGTACATATACTTGAAGCACCAAATACATAATTAGGAAATAAAATTAGGACAATGACTGTTTCAAATGAGACGCAACAAACATACTCAACGAGTTATCAACATGCAGAATGTGCTAACATATTTTGAATGAAATATGCCTTACTGGTCCTTCACTTTTCACATGATTTGCACTGAATCAATTTATTGTCTTTATTAGCGACTAGATTAAAGTTGAAACACGTTTCCCAGTATAGATATATATATATATACGGGCAAAATAAGCTAAATTAGTCATTGCCGCGTGTGGACGGCGACACGTGGGCGACAGTAAATCTGTAGACATGGTGAGATGACATTAACATTGAGATTGGGGATACTATTCTGCAATATAATAAATCAAAACTAAAAACAGTTAGGCTACAATAAGAAGAACATTATTGTGCACAGCCGAACAATATGTATAAAACGCCTTACGCTTGGACTGACGGAGCACTGATCCTGGATGAGAAAGGAGAGGTGAAGGTCATGCCAAGCGGCCCGGAATGATGTTTTTTTTTCTCATTGGCAACTCTTGAAAGAATATGTAACAGTTCATTCCTACTTTACAAAATTAAGTTGTACATGAATACGTGTTGATGTTTTTTATATAGTATTTCTAAACTGAAGCGATGGAATTACACGTCGATGTTAATATGGTTACAGGCTGCATAGGCTCTGCGATTATGTGCAAGGCGTAGAGACGGAGCACAGCCGATAACAGACAACAACCCAAACGACGAATGTAAGGTACACTGTGAGTGGTGCTCTATGTGGCTGCCATGCTCACCCTCCAATGTCGCGCTTTGGCTAATTTTGACACGTTTTGCTTGTTTTTGGAAGGGCGACGATGCGACAACGCGACAATGACCCTTGTAGCATTCCATAGTCAAACCCCATTGTGAGGCTTCATCGGATTCATAATATAACGGTTCAACGTACAGCGTTGTAAACTTTAAACTTACCTACACCAGATAATGTAAGCGTATTTTGGTAACTTCGTTTTATTACTGCCAGGTTTGTTATTCAGACAAGCATGGTGCACTGCAGAGGGGGAGGTTTCAGTCTACTCGTGTGTGTGTTTTTCCTATCGGTGGCAGCAGGCGTATATCCAACCTGGGAGGACACTGGACGTGTAGATGAGGTGATCACAGACAACAACACAGGGCACGTGTACACGGCGGGGGAGAAGGGGATCCGTCATTGGTCTGAAAATCTCACTTTCATCGCCGGTGTTGGTTGGGGCGATGCAGACGACTGCGTTGGTGACGCTGGAGGTAATGTGACAGCGATGGCGTTACAGCCTGGCTCCCCTCGACTTCTGGCCTGCTCCACAGCCTGTGGGGGTCTCTGTGCTGTGTACAATACGTCTAATATCACCCAGAGGTTGTGGATGAACAATGGAACTAACCACAGTTACATCAACACCCGTTCTGTTCTGGTGTTCCTTGACAATGTAACGTTGCTAGTAGCATCATCAACCTCGAACAAGCCGACGCCCGTCGTCCCCGTGTTGTCGTACCGACACTTGTCTCTCCCAGATCAAGGCCAACCTAGTATGAACATCAGTGACCACAACGAGGCTGTCATGTCAAGAAAACCAGAAAGCAACTACGCCATACATTTTATATCAGGCTTCACCAAGAACAATTTCACATATTTCCTTACAACCCAGAGAGAAACGTCAAGCATGAAGGTCACAACCCGACTCATTAGGTTTTGCACAAGTCACGAGTCTCTGTTCCCCCTCATGGACTTTCCCCTGGATTGTCGGACCAAGGACCTGACCTTATACAACATCGGACTAGACATGGCGGATACCGGAAGCTCCATCACTGTCAGTTTTGGAAGAAATACCAAGATCCCTCTCGTGGATCAGCGTTGTGCCAGTACACATTTGAGGATATCAGAAACGACAGTTCTGATGTGCTGTGTAGGTTTAGTACAACAACTCCAAAAGTGTCGTGGGCAGATGTCACCGGCGGGTGTAATGTTCAGGTAAGAGGGTGCATACCTATTTCTCCATGGCGAACGACTTGTATACGACGCTGTACACAAACACTGCTGTCAAACATATAAACTCCATAAAGGATAGACTATAACAACATATCCTTACTTGTACACAATACGTCCAGCCTGGGAAATCTTGATTAGACAGGTTGTATTTGATGACAAATTAATTGTATAATTCTTGAGCTGATGCAGCCGAAACACTATTTTAAATCTAAATTTTATTTTATGTTTAATCAACGTAGAGTCCGATATAGACAGACAGCTATTTCGGTAAAGTTGTATTTTATGGTAAATACACTTTGAAACGTCCGGTCCAAAATAGTCACACAACTATTTCAGTAAAAGTGTATTCTTTTGTAGATCAACTTTAAAACGCTCGGGCCAAAGGCCGAGGCTGACATTGACAGACAACTATTGCAGTAAGATTGATATTTGTGTGGTGACTACAACACTGTCATGAGGGGAGTCGTGATGATAACACTGTCATGTTGTTGTCGCAATGTTAACAATGTCATGTAGGAGTCCTGACTTTAACACTGTCAAGTGGGAGTCGTGATGTTAACACTGTCATGAGAGGAGTCGTGATGATAACACTGTCATGTTGTAGTCGCGATGTTAACATTGTCATGTGGGAGTCCTGACCTTAACACTGTCATGAGAGGAGTCGTGATGATAACACTGTCATGTTGTAGTCGCGATGTTAACATTGTCATGTGGGAGTCCTGACCTTAACACTGTCATGAGGGGAGTCGTGATGATGACACTGTCATAAGGGAGTCGCGCTGTTAACAATGTCATGTAGGAGTCCTGACGTTAACACTGTCAAGTGGGAGTCGTGATGTTAACACTGTCATGAGAGGAGTCGTGATGATAACACTGTCATATAGGGAGTAGTGAGGATAACATTGTCATGTGGGAGTCGTGATGTAAACACTGTCACGAGAGGAGTCGTGATGATAACACTGTCATGAGGGAGTAGTGAGGATAACACTGTCATAAGGGAGTCGTGATGTAAACACTGTCATGAGAGGAGTCGTGATGATAACACTGTCATGAGGGAGTAGTGAGGATAACACTGTCATGAGAGGAGTCGTGATGATAACACTGTCATATAGGGAGTAGTGAGGATAACACTGTCATAAGGGATTCGTGATGTTAACACTGTCATGAGAGGAGTCGTGATGATAACACTGTCATGAGGGAGTAGTGAGGATAACACTTTCATGAGGGAGTAGTGATGTTAACACCGTCATGAGAGGAGTCGTGATGATAACGCTGTCATATAGGGAGTAGTGAGGATAACACTGTCATAAGGGATTCGTGATGTTAACACTGTCATGAGAGGAGTCGTGATGATAACACTGTCATGAGGGAGTTGTGAGGATAACACTGTCATGAGGGAATCGTTATGATAACACTGTCATATAGGGAGTAGTGAGGATAACACTGTCATGAGAGGTGTCGTGATGATAACACTGTCATGAGGGAGTAGTGAGGATAACACTATCATGAGGGAGTAGTGATGATAACACTGTAATGAGGTAGTCGTTATGATAACATTGTCATAAGGGAGTCATGATGATAACACTGTCATATAGGGAGTAGTGAGGATAACATTGTCATGAGGGAGTAGTGATGATAACACTGTCATATAGGGAGTAGTGAGGATATCTTTGTCATGAGGGAGTCGTTATGATAACACTGTCATGAAGGAGTAGTGAGGATAACACTGTCATGAGGGAGTAGTGAGGATAACATTGTCATGAGGGAGTAGTGAGGATAACATTGGCATGAGGGAGTAGTGAGGATAACATTGGCATGAGGGAGTAGTGATGATAACACTGTCACGAGGGAGTAGTGATGATAACACTGTCACGAGGGAGCGGTGATGATAACACTGTCACGAGGGAGTGGTGATGATAACACTGTCATGAGGTAGTCGTGATGAAAACACTGTCATGAGGGAGTCGTGATGATAACACTGTCATGAGGGAGTGGTGATGATAACACTGTCATGAGGGAGTCCTTATGATAACATTGTCATGAGGTAGTAGTGATGATAACACTGTCATGAGGGAGTCGTGATGATAACACTGTCACGAGGGAGTGGTGATGATAACACTGTCATGAGGGAGTCCTTATGATAACATTGTCATGAGGGAGTAGTGAGGATAACACTGTCATGAGGGAGTAGTGAGAATAGCACTGTCATGAGGGAGTAGTGAGGATAACACTGTCATGAGGGAGTCGTTATGATAACACTGTCATATAGGGAGTAGTGAGGATAACACTGTCATGAGGGAGTAGTGAGGATAAAATTGTCATGAGGGAGTCGTGATGATAAAACTGTCATGAGGGAGTAGTGAGGATAACACTGTCATGAGGGAGTCGTGATGATAACACTGTCATGAGGGAGTCGTGATGATAACACTATCATGAGGGAGTTGTGATGATAACACTGTCACGAGGGAGTTGTGATGATAACACTGTCATGAGGGAGTCCTTATGATAACACTGTCATGAGGGAGTTGTGAGGAGAACACTGTCATGAGGGAGTAGTGAGGATAACACTGTCATGAGGGAGTCGTGATGATAACACTCTCATGAGGGAGTTGTGAGGATAACACTGTCATGAGGGAGTCGTGATGATAACACTGTCATGAGGGAGTCGTGAGGATAACACTGTCATGAGGGAGTAGTGATGATAACACTGTCATGAGGGAGTCCTTATGATAACACTGTCATGAGGGAGTCGTGAGGAGAACACTGTCATGAGGGAGTCGTGATGATAACACTGTCATGAGGGAGGTGTGAGGATAACACTGTCATGAGGGAGTAGTGATGATAACACTGTCATGAGGGAGTAGTGAGGATAACACTGTCATGAGGGAGTCGTGATGATAACACTGTCATTAGAGGAGTCGTGATGATAACACTGTCATGTGGGAATCGTGATGATGGCATTGTCATATGGGGAGTCGTAATGATAACACTGTCATGAGGGAGTAGTGAGGATAACACTGTCATGAGGGAGTCGTGATGATAACACTGTCATGAGGGAGTCGTGATGATAACACTGTCATGAGGGAGTTGTGATGATAACACTGTCACGAGGGAGTGGTGATGATAACACTGTCATGAGGGAGTCCTTATGATAACACTGTCATGAGGGAGTTGTGAGGAGAACACTGTCATGAGGGAGTAGTGAGGATAACACTGTCATGAGGGAGTCGTGATGATAACACTCTCATGAGGGAGTTGTGAGGATAACACTGTCATGAGGGAGTCGTGATGATAACACTGTCATGAGGGAGTAGTGAGGATAACACTGTCATGAGGGAGTAGTGATGATAACACTGTCATGAGGGAGTCCTTATGATAACACTGTCATGAGGGAGTCGTGAGGAGAACACTGTCATGAGGGAGTCGTGATGATAACACTGTCATGAGGGAGGTGTGAGGATAACACTGTCATGAGGGAGTAGTGATGATAACACTGTCATGAGGGAGTAGTGAGGATAACACTGTCATGAGGGAATCGTGATGATAACACTGTCATTAGAGGAGTCGTGATGATAACACTGTCATGTGGGAATCGTGATGATGGCATTGTCATATGGGGAGTCGTAATGATAACACTGTCATGAGGGAGTAGTGAGGATAACACTGTCATGAGGGAGTCGTGATGATAACACTGTCATGAGGGAGTCGTGATGATAACACTGTCATGAGGGAGTTGTGATGATAACACTGTCACGAGGGAGTGGTGATGATAACACTGTCATGAGGGAGTCCTTATGATAACACTGTCATGAGGGAGTTGTGAGGAGAACACTGTCATGAGGGAGTAGTGAGGATACCACTGTCATGAGGGAGTCGTGATGATAACACTGTCATGAGGGAGTTGTGAGGATAACACTGTCATGAGAGAGTCGTGATGTTAACACTGTCATGAGGGAGTAGTGAGGATAACACTGTCATGAGGGAGTAGTGAGGATAACACTGTCATGAGGGAGTAGTGAGAATAGCACTGTCATGAGGGAGTAGTGAGGATAACACTGTCATGAGGGAGTAGTGAGAATAGCACTGTCATGAGGGAGTAGTGAGGATAACACTGTCATGAGGGAGTCGTTATGATAACACTGTCATATAGGGAGTAGTGAGGATAACACTGTCATGAGGGAGTTGTGAGGATAAAATTGTCATGAGGGAGTCGTGATGATAAAACTGTCATGAGGGAGTAGTGATGATAACACTGTCATGAGGGAGTCGTGATGATAACACTATCATGAGGGAGTTGTGATGATAACACTGTCACGAGGGAGTTGTGATGATAACACTGTCATGAGGGAGTCCTTATGATAACACTGTCATGAGGGAGTTGTGAGGAGAACACTGTCATGAGGGAGTAGTGAGGATAACACTGTCATGAGGGAGTCGTGATGATAACACTCTCATGAGGGAGTTGTGAGGATAACACTGTCATGAGGGAGTCGTGATGATAACACTGTCATGAGGGAGTAGTGAGGATAACACTGTCATGAGGGAGTAGTGATGATAACACTGTCATGAGGGAGTCCTTATGATAACACTGTCATGAGGGAGTCGTGAGGAGAACACTGTCACGAGGGAGTCGTGATGATAACACTGTCATGAGGGAGGTGTGAGGATAACACTGTCATGAGGGAGTAGTGATGATAACACTGTCATGAGGGAGTAGTGAGGATAACACTGTCATGAGGGAGTCGTGATGATAACACTGTCATTAGAGGAGTCGTGATGATAACACTGTCATGTGGGAATCGTGATGATGGCATTGTCATATGGGGAGTCGTAATGATAACACTGTCATGAAGGAGTAGTGAGGATAACACTGTCATGAGGGAGTCGTGATGATAACACTGTCATGAGGGAGTCGTGATGATAACACTGTCATGAGGGAGTTGTGATGATAACACTGTCACGATGGAGTGGTGATGATAACA